ACTATTAATAAATTTATGTCATTTAACAAGTAATAAATGATTGATTCTTTAGAAAAAAATAATTGTTTCTCTTAAACGACGAGAACAATATTATTATTTCTTCTTATTTCTTTGCTACTTCTCTTATTCGTAAGAATGTTCTATCTTAATGTTCGTAGGGATAGGCGTGTCGTAAATACGTTTACATATGATCGATTGTCAGTATTGCTATTTCATCAATATGTAAATAAATAGATGATTAAGATGAATTTTAAAAAATAATGAAAACAAAGATTTGCTCATCAAAAGGATAAAAGTCAAGAACTAATTAATTTAATGATCATTGGTAGAATTCAAATTGTCAGTAACTAATAAAAAGAAAAGATTTTCCAAATAGGAAGTTGACTGTAGAAATCTCATTATTCAGATTATGATTAATGATAATTATCTTGAATTTAATACTGTTTCTTGCTGTATATAACTAATGAAAGTTATCCTTATTAACTCAATCATTACAATTTATGATATGAAAAAGAAAATGCTTAAGAATATTGACAGCAGTAAAGACAATTGTTATTGTATTGATTCTTTTGACATTCTATTTTTCAATATCTTCGTTTTGTTTGAATCCATAGATTCTATAGAAGGGTTTGTTTTTTATCTTAATAAACGTAATTTGAGCTTGGTAATACTAATGAATTCATTTTTGACTGATTAAACAATGAGCGAATTGACATAAATCATAACAAGATAAGATCTGGGAAATAAAAAAATAACGTATGCATACAGAATTCATACGAATATGAAGTCATATAAATTCATAGCATTCTATGTTGATTGAAATCAAAGACGATCTGAACTACGAAAACAAGAGATGCTCCTAGGATTAAGATCTGGACTACGGTAATGATCTGAGTTAAAGATCACCAGCAAATCATCTGTATATTTGAGCGATTTTTTCTGATAAGCAATCCCGATCAAAACGAAAGTCACGAGAGCTAACTAAAAACTAGAAATTTTATCGACGGAATAAGTCAACAAAAAAAAAACGAATATTCAAGAATTCATTTCGATTGAATGTGAAAAAAAAATTGAAATACTTTTCTATAGGCTAAAACCAAGACCAGGACTGCAGCTATATGGAATTTGTCAAGCCTAAACAACAATAGTGGTTGATCACTTTTCTAGTACATAAACATGAGAAATAGGAAAAAGTAGAAAAAAATAAATTTAAAAATATACTTTCTCACTCAATACTAACATGTTACTGTGAGAAAATTGAATTATCATATTTTAAAGTTTCTGATATATTTCAACTATACGATTTGATCATCAATAAATGTCTACTATTGAGTCTATTCATTCTTTTTTGAAATCTCAATGTATTACTGACATAGCCTATGATAATGAATGCATGTTTGATAGTTCGATAGATTTTAATTATAACAAGTAATGTAATTGTCATTCAGTTTATTTCACTTTTCTTGCATAAACATATTCCCATTGTGTTCAAACATTATTTTGACAGATTAAAAAAAAACAGAGATCATATGAGTAAAATCAAGCCTCGCCACAATAAATAACAACAGCTAATTTTTTGTTGTTGAACTATATCTATTTTATTCGCACATGCAATCGTGACATTTGCTTATTAAACTTTCTACTGTTATCCTTGACCAAATTATGCCGAAAAAATGTTGTGTTTGCTGACTTTGACGCATGTTCCTACGAGGGCATCCGTCAAACAGATCTGGGTGTAGTGTACGTATAGACTCGGATGTGTTTCTCTTTTAATCATTAGCTTCATCCATACCCTCATTCTTTGAAACAATCTTAAATGAATAAGAAAAGGTCTCTTTTCTGAAAGATGGTTCTCAGTTCTATCTTTAATTTACTTTAGAGTTAGTGTGTACGTGTAAGTCTTTTCTTTTTCCAGTGTACACTCACACTCAGCACTTTCTGACTAAGGTTTATATTAGCCATATATTCAAAAGAACCAACAGAATGCATATAATTCCAAAGCAATGGTTTGACATTAAAAAAAAATTCATCAGCAAGTAAATACAGTTGACTGACTAAAAAAGTCCGTCTGTTGAAATCAAATCACCAATATTAGACTCAAAAATGGTCACTTTTGAAGGTGAACGTACAGGATTTTGATAATATGCTAACACTGATTTTTCTCTGAACTGACTACATTTCAGTTTTCAATGTTCATATCAATCAACAATATAAAAACGAAAGTAATATAAAATATCAACATTTTTTTATACGAAATGCTTAGTTAACTAATCTAAATTCTTTTATTTGTAGAGTTTTTAGACGCATCCATAATAATATTTTTAAGCATTTGAAACAATAAAAATGAAAATAGATTCTTTATTGGGATCTCAGAGACATTTTTATTATACGTATAAACTACAAATAACTATTGTTTTGTCCAGCTTTTTTTGTGATTCTTGAATTGCACGAGTGTCGGATTCACTTCTCAATTTCATAGTAAATCAAGTATTCATCATTCATCTCTTCTCTGTAGATGAGTAAATAAGGAGCGAATGAACATTTCCAAGAAGTGAATAGAGTATTCGATTGTGGTTAATTAACAATTTGAGAACATTTTGTTTCTCGAAGTTTCTCATGGAAAGTTTCTATTTAATTTTTCTTTGAAAAAGTGTTGTTATGAATAAAAACTTCTCTCAAATTCTCCGGCCTTCTCATTTGTCAGCAAAAAAATTGAAACAGAACGCCATCCGATCATTGTGAATGTTCTTTTAGTGACATAAAGTAAATAAGATGAAATTAATCTGCAACGATTTGCAAAATTTCAAAACGAATTAGTTCAATAATTGATTGATAAGGAGAATCTGTTACCAAATAGATAAGAAAAATTTCATCGTCATTATCATCGAAAATCTTGTTTTCATAACAATTTAGTTTTCTTTTATTTTTTCATTGTTAATAATAGTTAATGTTTATTACTGGGAATTTCTATTGAGCTTCTCATTGATTAGTTTTCGAACAAAAAACAATAGTAATATATGACGTGGCAATATTCGTTTCTTCCTACTTTCATAATTATATAAATCTACCGGTATGTAAAAAAAGTTCATATGATAGAACATATAATCTGTTAATATTACAATCATTGATATGTTTATCATTTTACTTTCGTTAGTACATATAAAAAAATAAATTTTATTCTTTATTTATCAAGAACAGAGATGGGGTGTGGGTGTAGGTAGGTGCATGTGGGTGGGTGGGTGTGGATGTCGATATACTCTTCTACTCACACCCTGACATCCGCACTACCCACACACTTTAGGAGGATTGTTTTAGTGAATTTCATCTGTCAGAGCTGAATGAAAAGCCGCTGTTTAATCGCAGTTAGCCATCGGTTTTACCTGAACCGCCGGTTACCACCTGTTTTCTCAAAAAAAAGACGACATGGGAGGCGTTCACGATCCTCATGAATTGAATTTTTTGAATAAATATATTTTTTTGTTCTTGTCTACAGTCAGTCGTCGTATACTCTTTACCTTGAATGTTTTATTGTTGCTATGTGCACTCGCTCCCAGCATATTGTTTAATTGAAAAGAATTCAAAAAGAAAAACGAAGAAAACGGTGGCAAATGAAAACAGAAATAGTTCGTAAAGTGTTGCCATAATGCACAAATAAGAAAAGAATCATTCGACAAACAACAGGCCAGCCTGATATACACAACATTTGACGAAGTTAAAAACACCAGCACTATAACCTACTCGGTATAATTGACTTTTATTACTTGATTTTGTTGAGTGATTTGTTAGGAGGATCTCTTAGACCAGATATAGTATTTTACACATCATAAACTGAACTAATATGCGATCAAAATACTTGTTAGACTTGGTTTTGATATATATGATAATGGTACCCATGACTGACTGCTGTTCATTGAGTCGATCAATACTTGTTTATCACTGAACCGCCTAGTTCCCTCTACTGAAAGAAGAGTAATGTGCTGAGTAGCTACAACGGTAATTTCCATTTTCGCCGAATTTTTTTTTCGCCGACGATGATTTTCGCCGAATTCCAACTTGACCGAAAGAATTTTTCGCTGACGGAGACATTGGAATGAGTGCACATGTGGGTGTAGGTGTAAGTGTGGGTGTAGGTATACGTGTGAGTGCGTGTGTAGGTGTGGGTGTGGTTCAGGGTCATTAAATGAGCGAAAAATTCTTTCGGAGAAGTTGGAATTCGGCGAAAATCGTTGTCGGCGAAAATGGACTAATTCGTTTGTAGATGTAGTAGGACTTATCACTCACACTCAGGCGCACACAGTTAAGATAGTACGCTGTGCCTGTGCGTCTGATCAGTTATGAGTGTGCGCCTTCACGTGTGGTGTTGGGGAGGGCGCTGGCATGTCTGAGTGCTGTGGCGTTCATTATCAAAAATCACATTGTCACACGCACACTTATATCCGAATTAGTGAAATCTATTTTTAAAATTCTTGGCTTTCAGATCTTGAGATCTAGACATCCCGAGTTTGTCTGAATTTGATCAGATCTTTTCGAGAGACTCCTTTCTAGATCATCGATCGATCTATCGGTATATTCTCGCGTAATAATTCATCGAGAAATAATCTTGAAAAAAGACTTGTAAACCTAAGATGTTCGATTTTGTTAGCCATATGTAGCTTTATGTGCAACACAAAACGGTGAATGAATAACCATCATTTGACCACGACATATTCATAATATAATACCGTTTCATGGTAGAGCCTACGACACGATAACTAGCAGCAAATCAGTGCGGTGCATTTTATTTCAATATGCACACGAACACCCACCCACAGCGACATCCACACTCCATAATCTCATGATTCTGAGAGGGTGCGACTGTGGGTTGATCTTCACTTGAGAGAGATCTACACCCACACTCACAGCGTCATGTACACTCCCTTGCTGGCTGACTCTTGAAGTGAGTTTGAGTAGCTGTTGAAAGCACACCATTTTCGACTATAAGGGATTCTTCTTAGCATTTGATGCATCAGAAGTTCTCTCTTCACTCGAGAATATTTTTCTTCATTGCAGATCACATTCACAGTTTACCGCGTGGTAGATGGAAACAAGATGCTGTCAAAGTGGCTGGAAGTCATCAACATGGTAGTCGACTCAATGAGCTCTACCACTGCTGCGGCCTCTATGTTGATACAGATGGAAATGTTCTTATCGCTGATTCTGGTAATCATCGGATTGTTGAATGGAAACCTGGTGCGATGAGTGGCCAAGTGGTGGCTGGCGGAAATGGGCCAGGAAATGCACCAAATCAATTGAATGCACCGTCAGATGTTATTGTCGATAAAAATACAAACAGTCTTCTCATTTGCGATAAAAATAATCGACGAGTGGTACTATGGGCTCGACGACATGGTCGCGAAAAAGAAATGATGATCAAGAATACTGATTGTTATGGATTGACAATGGATGATCGTGGCTTTCTATATGTCACAGACATCAAGAGACACGAAGTAATACGTTATGAGCTGCAAGGCAAACGTGAGATCAGAAATGTTGTAATCGTAGCGGGTGGAAATGGAGAAGGGAATCTCTTTAATCAACTGAGTTATCCAAGTTTTGTCTATGTTGACCAATATTACTCGGTGTACGTATCGGATACCAACAATCATCGAGTGATGAAATGGATGAAGGGTGCCAAAGAAGGAACTCTCGTGGCTGGTTGTTCAAGGGGAGGAAATGATCGGACACAGTTATCTAAACCTACGGGACTTTTCGTGAACTCATATGGAGTAATCTTTGTGGTAGATAGTGAGAATCATCGAGTTATGCGTTGGTACGAAGGAACGTCAGACCTGATTGTTGGTGGGAATTATGAGGGGCAAGAAAATCACCAATTGCGTTCTCCTGAGGGCTTATCAGTTGATCGGGATGGCAATCTCTATGTCGCTGACTGGATGAATAATCGAGTTCAAAAGTTCTCAATTATAGAGAGGTGAAAGCTTTTGTTGCTGTGGGTTTCTCTGTCGTTTATTTCTTGCACAGCTGGTGCTTCTTGTATCATCGGAGGCACTCCTAGAAATGACCACCTGTACGCAATGAAGAAAAGGAATTGTTGCGGGTGTGGTCATGTGGGTGTGATGTGTGGTGGTGGTGTGTGAGTGTGCGGGGTGGTGTGTGAGTATGTTGGTGGCATGTGGGTGTTACTCTGACGCTCGAACTAACACACACCCACATCCTGGATTTCAATGAAACAATCAATATCTAAACTTCTTTGCCGTTTTCTCAGAGCATGGTTTTCAGTCAGAAAAATTGAAATAACTCTCACCCGGTTCAAGATGTAAACAATAGTTCTTTTTATTTAAAAGGTCTAAATGAGAGTAAACTCTTGTCTCACCAGATTTTTTTATGCCTGATTTCTGTGTTGAGAAAACCAATATTTAGCGTCGTGAACCGGCTTTTTTTGCTTATTTTAACACTGTATGTACTAAAATGATGATATAAAATGAGAGTGTGGGTGCAGGTGTCAGCTTGGACAAAGAGAAGACTCGCACTTACACCTACACCCATACCCTTTATTCATTTACACATTCATCTTTTCCTTTTTGATTCATTATTTGATCTATTAATGACTAAATATTCGTATTTCTTTCTTTCTCTTGGGTGACGTGAAGAAACCAATCTACAGGATGATAAGTAAAAAAGATATCTAGCCTACCTAGACAGAGAGATAGAAGGCAAGATACCAAGAATGAATAATAAGACAAGAAAAATTCCGAGAGAAAAGAAGCATATTGGAAATATATATATGGGAATATAAATAGGAGCGAAAACCGTAGGATATACGTATAATACACATGATGCAGAGATACTATGTAATGTGAGCAATTTATAGTGTAATAGACAGAAACCAGCACCATCAAAATTTCCATCATGAATTCAGATTGATATAGTGTTTTGTGTTTCGTTCTGAATGAGAAATTCATGTGAATTCTATTGAATAATTTTGAAGATATCAAATAACCTTTCTATTTTTGCATTATGTTACTAATATATAATTTTCAAAAAAAACATTTATTAGTAACCAGATATCAGCTTATCTTTTGATTTGTATATCTACGATAACAAGATATATATATATATGAAATGAATCTTCAATTTTATATTAAAAAATGCCTTCAACAATAATAGATGAATGCCCGATATGTGAAAATAAATTAAACGAAAAAGATGATTTGGTGATCACCGATTGTAATCACACATTTCATCGTATTTGTGCTCAAGAACGTCTAGATAGAAGAGGTAGAACTGACTGTCATTTTTGTCATAAAGACTCAGCTCTTGACAATATACTGTCCCAAAATACAACAATTATTAAAAAATCTCCTAAACACGATGAAAATCAAATACAATTAAGTGAAATGGTGAGTTGTTGTTTTTTCTATTAATTTTACAATGAGTAAAGATAGTTTAATCACGAGGCGAATTTAGGGATTTCAAACTAGTGAATGAAATTTTAGACGTACGAGAAATTCTCTCCAGATGTTTCTTTCTGATTTTTACCTATAGATACTACATGATGTTTTGGAGAAATTCATGAAAGGATTCCAATTACTGTTGAGATTTCACAAGCATATTGGGCTCTAAATATACGTAGTTTCTAGAAGATCCTGTAGGATCCTATGCTTTCTGAAAAATAGCGTTTTTTGAATTTTATCTTGAAACTACATCCATTCAAGCTTCCTATATAAGGTAGCTTGTATGAAGAGTTTTAGAGTTTATAGGTTTTTATTTACGAGATACGAACTTTTCAAACTATGCTACGTAGTAAAATTCATTACATTTCGACAGATGTCTGTTTCTTCAAGAGTTCCTATCTTTGGGATTCGAAATCTAAAAACCCTAGAACTATTTTCATACAAGCTATTACATATAAGACGTTCAAGCGAATATAATTTCAAGGCAAAATTAAAGAATAAGATTCGTTCTGAAAAACTAGAATCCTACAAAAGATTCTATCAAATAAACATATTAAAAATACAGTAGCTCATTCGGGCTCAGTAATGAGTCAAATATTTCAAGGGTTGTCTCTAGAATATCATGAACACAAGTTTGAGTCTATTTTAAGCAAATAATTGCTACTATTATATGTGCAGTAATATGCAAGATTAGACTATTAAGATTGCATGTTGTATTTCTAGACACATTCGCAAATAGATATATTGCTTCAGTAACAAGAACTAAAACTACAGTTGACAAAAAGAAAAACGATTGGCATTGTGAAAAATGTTCAGGCAATAACGAAGCATTAGCAAAACGATGTACATTTTGTGGGGAATCACGATTGGCTCTGTCCTCAACGTTGGCTACAATGACACAACGACGAGAAGATTCAACTACAAAGCTAGACAATCAGATAACATCTTCGAATAAAAGACAACAAAAACTGATTACCACAAATCGTTATACTCAAGAACTGAGAGAGCTGCGCAAATACGAGTAAAACTTGTACCACTCGGTTCACAGCTAACTATGCACCAGCTTGTACCACATTGTATTGGGTGCATGTATCCCTACGATACAAAGTGATACATGGACCCGATACAAGATGGTACATAGTTAGCTGTGAACCGAGTGGAATAAGCTGTATCCGTACTTGCGTATCTCTGATTTAATGACCATCGATGGTTGTGCGACATTCGAGCTTGACCATCAGATGAGCGTTGATTTAAGTGACAGACGACTCATCGTACATAAACGAGAAAGTTGGTCTGGTGCGTTGCAAATCTTTGTTAAAGAGACAACCGAAAAAACTATTACAATTAATGCTAGACCTGATCACACAATTGAGTACACAAAAACTTTTGCTTCTTATCAATACATGATGTACTATAGATCATCAGCGAATTATATTTGCCGACAAGCAACTCGAAGATGGTCAGAAATTGATTCGTTATAATATTCAGAAGGAAAGTACATTGTACATGGAACTATGTCTAACTGGTGGCAAGCCAATCATTCGTCTCCGTTCGTTAAACAATATGATAATTTCAAACATGAATGTTCACCTTGACCTTGCTAACATATATAGGATCTACCGAGCATATATCCAAAACCACTAAACACTAATGCAATATCGTTTGTAGAATGGAACAATATTCATGTACATCCTGATGAACGATTAGTCTTTGAAAATAAACACGAAATTGTTGAAGCAGGTCGTCTATTTCCATCGAATACTTTTCTTGGAAGCTTTGACAAAAGTAAACCCCTCAATGTTCGCACTCGGCAATGGTCTATGTGTACTTCGACAGGATTTCTCACGTGTTCTTAATTATTTACTTAAGAATATGTCATTCTCAGTAAAGGATCGAGATGATATGATTACGTACGTTCTTCCACATTTCGACTAGGCTGATGCTGAATATACAAGTCCAAATATCGTATTTCGTTTTCTTTCTCAAAGTGAATACTCGTCAGTAGCAGAACTCAGTATTCGACCTCTACCTGAACGAATCATTCGCACTTTTCTTCTCTATCGACTTGGCAGCGACGAGAAACAGATTTCGAATATGGATGAAACCGAAAAAGCAATTGATTCGATCTATCATCATAATTCTTCATTAAGTGGTCTCATCATTCATGAGTGAGATTCCATGTTTATACATTCATATAAATGTTTGTGATTGACTTACAGTTCATAGAGCTATGACACTTGTTTTCTTGGTTGAAATGAAACATCAATGAGCGAAAATTACATAAAGGATGTTACATAATAACTGAAAATAAGTCGTTAATAATTTTTTTCATATTTTTTCTTGATGTAGAAAACTGAAACTTTCATTACATAGATACTTAATCAAGATATGCTATTTGTGAAAGCTTCTGTTCTCTAGCTATAACTACTGGTGAAATAGATCGACAACATTGAAATGTATAAATTTTCGTACTCGTTTTTTTTGCATGTTTTTACACAGTAAAAGTAATGTAGAAATTGAGTGCAAAAATCTAAGTTTTTCAATCTTCCCATATATTTCACTACTAGTTACAGCTAGAAGGCTAAAACTTTCAAATATCAAGGATCTTGATTCGATATCTATGTGATAAAACTTTCATCTCTTCAGGTCCAAAAAAAGTAATAAAAATAATTTATATTGATTACTTCTTGTTGTAAAATACAAATCGAATTAAATATTATTTCAGTTGAGTTGATAAACTTTTACTTATCTTATTATTGTTCATTAATTTGATAGTTTCTTTTGAAATATGTTTTGTCATGTCCTTTGTATAGACTTGTTTCTTATGTAATCAATTGAATTCATACAAAATCGATGGCACTCAATAGAGAGTGAGAAACAGGACATATGTTTTCATACATTAAAGCGGACTGTTCTCTTCTTCCCTCTTATGGCACTTTTACGAGAATGGATTATGAGAAATACTTTAAACTTGCAGAGAAGATAGATTGCGATAAGTAGAGTAAACTTTTTTTATAGATTGATAGTTCCGAGATATTTTCCTTAGGAAGAGTCAACAATGATCCTCTTTTTCATTCCTTATTTGTCTAAAGTGGTACATTCATTTCAGCTGAAACGATTTTTTTAAATTTCTTCTTGCTTTCTTTCCTTGGAACCGAAATATCTGAATATGAAGTGAAGAGTCCCCTAAAACTCACATAATCTTTTGAATATAACAGTTTCTTTGTAATCTCTGCCAAAAATTAGCGGTACAATAATTTTTAAAAGAAGAAAACAATCATGTAATGACCTAAAACACTATCTGTTACTTGTAGAAAGTTTTCGCTCAATTAGATAGATTATATTTCAGAAGCCGCAACGATTCTACAGATTTTCCTGTAAAATCTGCTGTTTTCATATAATAAACAATTTCATCGTTTCGATTTTTTCTTTCAACATTAAAATTACATTTGAATTCCCACAACATATCCAATAGATAAAGAAGTACAAGTGACGCAGAAAAAAAAATAGGGAGCTTTCAGTCAAAAAAGAAGTAAATTCTTTTCAAGAGCGCAGTTCTAACTAAAAACGTTTCCTAGGACCTGAAAATACTCACTTCAAAGAATTCTTAAACAATAGAACCAATCCTGCAAAAACGAAATCTTACAAAATAGATTTTGAAATAGCAATTTTTTAATTGCATTAAAATAATATCTGATTAATATCTCTTATGAGAGATCATTTCCAGGTGTCTGTGTCCTTCTAATCTAATATTTTTTCTATCAGTAAGCTTTGATGAGCTATGAAAAGTCGGTAAATAGTTTGTATCCATAGGTGCTTGTTGCAAGTTTCGGATTGTTCAAGCATTTTTCATGCACTTGAAAGTAATGGCAAATGCTTTTCGATCAATATTAAAA